TTGGCTCAAGTACCATACCTGGTACGAATTATATATATATGGTTGACTCGGGTACCACGTCGGTACATATTAACGGTTGACTCAGGTACCACACATGTACATGATATCTCTCTGTTGGCTCGGGTACCACACCTAATATATATTAACGGTTGGCTCAGGTACCACGTCTGGTAAGAAATATGTATACATGGTTGGTTCGGGTATCACGCTGGTACATATTAACGATTGACTCAATATCATGCCTGATACATTAACTTTTGTGTGTGGATTCCATGAGTGAACCAAATTTACTTTTTCGTAAAGTAATTGTTACATATTGGTCCATGAGTGGCCGAATTGATGTACTTAAAGGCTGGGGTGATTCTTATGTGGACCAAAATCGCATATGAGATACCATGATCGTGTTTCAAGAATCCTTAGGTGATCCGGGTTACCTAAAGTAGTATTATAACATTTCAATGTCTTTATTGTGAAGTGATATAAATGTTTCATTTCTTATATAGCAATCATATATCCTATGATTTCTTTAAATCTTATTTCACTTTATTTTGGGAAACCATTAACATAAATATCAACCTTTTGGCAATTCATATTTTGTTATTAGGGATGAAAGTTAAGCAACACATGTCACATATTTAAAGTAGCTTCACGTTATCTCTGTCCTTTTTTTGTGTGTGCTTCGTACTTATAACCGTAGGAACTTGTTACATTTGTTCTTTCAAGTTATCAAGACTTATCTCGATAGATTGTTTCATTTTGTATCATAAATGTTACATAAACAATAGTTATTCTTTTGATTTGTAAATTGTGGTTACTCATATGACACGTATGAATGAAAGTAAATTTTTCGTTTAAGATGAAATATGTTGATTTAAATATTATTCGGATATTCGTTGTTAATACTTAAATGATGGGGATTTACTAGGGCTTTTGCATTTATGATTCAGGATAAATGAATGAGATTTGCATATATTTTCCTATGAATTTGATTTACTCAGATTACATTGTGTGTTGACTGCCAGTCACATAAATTTAGGTCATGCATATGGCATAACAATCATATTTTGATCAATTATTTTTTAGAACAATCTAAAATTGCTAATATTATTTTATTGATAACACTATTATTCTACATAACTTTAATATTCCATCTGTTACTTTTACTTGTCCATTATTTTAAAATATTTTTTTTATTTTTACTTGTCACTGTTAACATTTTAAGAAAAAATAATTATTTTCATGTTTTATCCTTAGCATTAATTACTTATTTCCTAAATCATTTTTCGAGACCTAATACTTATAAAAATCAATTAATATGAGTAATATGATAAAATAATCGTGTCAATCATTATTTTTTTTAATGAATTTGTCAAATTCAAATGTGACAAGTTTAAGTAAACGGAGAGAGTAATTAATAAAAACACAAATTGATTTAACTATTTAAATTTTAAACTTTTGACATAATATTTTCTCTTTCAAATGATATTTCAATTGATTACATATATGTTCTATTACAATAATATAATATATGAGTCAAATTTACATTTTAAATTATACATTTGATAAATACTAAATATGATATTATTGTTGTTTACAAACCCAAAGAGAATAAAGAATATAATAATATATATAAGTATGGCAATTAATTTTCCCATAAAAATAAAGATCTAAATCGTCACTATCCGTAAACCTTTCTCCTTCTGCATAATATGACTACTAAATTATTTATGTTTATCATGAAAAAATTAAGACTGGATATCCATTTGCATTCTTAATTAAGACGATTTAGATCTTTAGTTTTATGGGTCAATTAATTGTCATGCTTATATATTATATTCTTTATTCTATTTTATACGATAGTATTTGTCACTAACATTATAAGCATTATTTTATTATTAGTTTTATAAACTCTATTGAACGACCCCTTAGAGGAATAACTTATTAATCTTTATTTCATTACTCTCACAATCCTTCATTATCATAACTGGTGTTTTAAAAGGCTGTGTTGAGACTCATTTCGGGCTTATCCCGAGGCGGGGATTTGGAAAAACGCCTCGAGACTCATGCGTGGAATTTAGTTTTATGAAATTTATACTCTAAGGGGTCGTTTGATTACTTAACCAAACGGCCCCTAAGTGTCCGACTGTATGCTCTAAACACACTCAACATCCAACATTTGAGACTCGTCTAATAAATTTTACACAAATCACATGTTAAATTCTTTTGTTAACATTGTTGACCCTCATACTTTTTTTAATAATTAATGATACTTAATAGTAGTGTTACATCTATAGAAATAAGCAAATTAAGAATAACTTCAATAAAGAGTTTCTATATCGCATATTTACTATTTGGTAACATCGTGAGGGTGATTATTATTTAACATTTCTTTTTAAAATAGGGAAAAGGGTCTGAAAAATACTCCAACTTTGGCCGAAATTATTGTTACGATATCAAACTTTATGGAGGATCTTTTACCCCCTACACTATTTAATAGTGTATTTTAAAGGTATATATGTGTCCACGTGGACACATTACTATTTATAATTATGCAATATTTATGATGTTCGCGTGGGCACATATATACCTTTAAAATACACTATTAAATAGTGTAGGGGGTAAAAGATCCTCCATAAAGTTTGATATCGTAACAATAATTTCGGCCAAAGTTGGAGTATTTTTCAGACCCTTTTCCCTATTTTAAAAAGAAATGTTAAATAATAATCACCCTCACGATGTTACCAAATAGTAAATATGCGATATAGAAACTCTTTATTGAAGTTATTCTTAATTTGCTTATTTCTATAGATGTAACACTACTATTAAGTATCATTAATTATTAAAAAAAGTATGAGGGTCAACAATGTTAACAAAAGAATTTAACATGTGATTTGTGTAAAATTTATTAGACGAGTCTCAAATGTTGGATGTTGAGTGTGTTTAGAGCATACAGTCGGACACTTAGGGGCCGTTTGGTTAAGTAATCAAACGACCCCTTAGAGTATAAATTTCATAAAACTAAAAATACATAGCAAAACTTTACATCCTCACTTATCACTGGGTTTCATGTTTTTGTCATTTGTCTCAAAATAATCATATTTTATTATCTCACTTTTTAAAGTAATTTTATTTTTATTCATGATGGAGTGGTATTTTTATTATAATACTAAAAGTTTTATTCATTATTTTCTTTTACGGAGGTAAATTACATAGTATGATAGTAATGTATTTTTAGAATAATGATTCTCTTATTATTTGAAAGGTAAGAGATTTGAATTGATATGTGTCTCATAATATATATATTTTTTCATTACATTATTTATATCTGTAAAATCATGTTAAGATTTTTATTTTCTACGAGCTTTCTCAATTATATTTTTAATTATTTTAAACTATTGATATATTTTTATAATTTTATGTTATTATATTATTTTCCTTTATCATAAATTAAAAATTTAAAAATTTATAAGATTTATGCCATCACCTCAAGGCTTACCCTTTGTCCCATACTAAAGGCCCGTTTGGCCATAGATTTCCCAAATAATATTTGGGAAAAATTTGGCAAATAGTGTTTGTCCATACAATTTGCCATACAATTTGCCATTATTTGATGAAAATGATGAACAATCGGCTCAGGATAACAAAGTCATGTGCTTTGTCTACTTCACGATGTATGAAATGATGCTTGTTGCACTCACTCCAAACTACCACATTGCTCTAGTGCCATGGACACTATTTGTTATTGTTGCAACGAAAATTCAATTGACTTGTAATACAAACTTATGGTTAGTTTTGATAGTTTTTAAAACTTATGGGTATAAATCATATTTTTCTAAAAAAGTGAAATATATTTCCTAAATACTATGGCAAAACACATGGTGAAATTTCACCCAAATAATATTTGCCAAGAATATTTAGAAATCTATGGCCAAACGCTAGCTAAGTAAAACACTCCACTCTTTAAAATACCAATCATAATTCATAACCCCTAAATAGTAAGTGGTTGTATTACATGTCATCTTTTGATATTCCTCCATATAAATAAAGTTTTTGTAAGTATTTATTGGAACACTTGAACAAATAAGAAAACTTTTTTCTTTTTCCGTTTCTTCTTTACATATATTGCTATTGCTCAATAATATTCTCTCTCTATATATATAGCTTAGCATAATTAGTCAGCCATGAGATATGATATGCTATTATTATTATTGTTATATATGACGAAAAGAATGATTTTATGTATAATAATAACTAATTTAGTGTGTTCGTATTGTATGCTCTTTCTCCGTTCAATCATTTATGTTTTTATTTATTATCCAATAATAATAATAATAATATTTTATTCTTTATCCTACCTTGTTATAATAGTTTTACCTATGTACTCTATTTTTTGTAAGTTTATGCGTCAAAATTGTTGATGCGATGACATTATCTAAATAGTATATTCATCAAACAATACAATATAGTACAATACAATACAATATAATTGATACGACATACTATTTTTACCATTCATTCCCTTTTAGGATCGGTCGTGTTTCTTCTAAGTTTTTGTAAGAGTATCCCTCACTTAGAAACTAGCTACACTTAAACAACTATATACTCTTCAATAACGTAATACGATATATTATGAATTACTCCAATAACAACCCTCCAAACATGGACTAGTATTGCCTCATCTATATTAAAATAGTACAAGCATCAAAGCACAAAGAACACAAAAGCCTAATGGCAAAAAGAGAACTCATCACCTAACAATATCAAAAATAGGTGAGATTGTTTAGATGTTTCGGGTTCGAGCCAAAATTTCGTTGAGACCGCCAATTTTAAACGAACGTTATAATGCACGATTCGAATTTAATTGGAATTCAATACAGGTGGAAAACAAAAAATAAAAAAAGGTCAAAAAAGTCAAAAATAGGATTTAACCATTTTAATGAGAAGAGAAAAAAAACAAAAGAATATAGAGAAATTGCATTTATTTTCCAATTTAATAGCCTTTGAAGTTTTTCCCCTAACCCTCTCCTTCCCAATCTTGAACACACACACACACACACGGCACTATAATCTATATCTGCCCTAATATACACACACACACAGTCTCTATTTGTTTTGCCCTAGTCTCGTCTCTCTTGAACCACTCTCTCTGTTTCTTCGCTGTTTTCTCTCTCGCCTTCTCCGTCTCTTTCTCTCTCTGTTTTGTGTGAAGCACTGCGGTTTCATATTGAGAAAAAGGAATTCCATCTATTGTTAAGAATTTGGTATTTTGCCTGTCCCTCGGGCGAAAACAGATATATATAGCGTTATATATATATTTAGAGGGGAGTTTTGGTTTGGGGTTATTTAGAGCGGTTAGGGTTTTGTTGGGGATCTTATTGCCTTGATAATCGCTTGTTTTTTTTTTAAATTTTATAATCATCGTCTATAATCAGTTTGTTTGTGTTCTATTTTGTGATTTTGTGGGCAATATCTAGTTTTATTATCTGGGTTGGTGTAGAAACCCTAAGTTTTGTGGGGGGAAGTTATTGCGGGTCTAGGGTTTGTGGATTTGTGAATTTTTACTCACAATTGGCATGGTGGGTCGGTGAGTTTAGGTTTTGTTTGGTTGATTACTCGTTGAAATCTTGTTGGGTAACGGAAAAGAGGGGTATTTTTTTTCTGTAACTGCTCCTGAAGTAATAATGATAGTCTGATTATTGCACCAATTGTTTCGTCTTCCATCTTTTTTTGGTGAAAGAGATGGAGTAACGGAAGACTTTTTGATTCCTAGGTGTAGTTATTAACCGTTGGAAAAAAACTGGTGTTTATTTTGTTGGCTTTAAATTTGTGAAGTCGAAGGAAGGATTGTGACAGGGGTTAATTTACCTCAAAGATAAAGAGGAAAAGGAAGATGCATGGTTGATTTTTTGCAGAGGAAACTTGTTTTGGACTAAAATCTGTGAGGGAAGTTGAATTTCTTTTTGGGGAACTTTTAGATAGAGTAATGTGGTTGGTTATTGCAAATTCTTGGATATCATAGGTAAAAATCTGGACAGATTGGTTCAGATAGGAAAAGTCGGTTGAATAAAAGTCTTCTTGTAGAGTAAGCTGATCATGTTCTGCGCCAATGGAAAGGAGTGAACCAGCGTTAGTTCCAGAATGGTTGAGAAGCACTGGAAGTGTTACTGGGGGTGGCTCTTCAAGTCCCCACTTTGCAACCTCTTCTTTGCATTCAGGTACACACTCTGCCCTGCTTGAATTCCTTTCAGTCATATTTATTTTAAGCACGCGTTTAAGTGAAGCATAATGCATATTGAGGATTTATATAGTGACTTATCTATCTTGCGGTTCTGGTTATTTTTGTACTTAAAACTTTAAGCATGACCATATTGTACTTTTGTGTTTCCTTCCTGCAGATGTTACTTTATCCACACTGTCTTCTCGCAATAGATCTCCTAGGAGTGTTAGTGACAAAGATAGCCCGCGTTCTGTGTTTTTGGATCGCAGTTCATCATCAAATTCTAGGCGTAGCTCTAGCGGTACTAGTTCGAAGCATCCGTACAGTAGTTTTAATAGAAATCATCGTGATAAAAATCGGGAAAGAGAGAAAGAAAGACCGGGTACTGTTGATCTATGGGATCATGACACATCTGATCCTCTGGGGAACATCTTAGCTGGTAGAGTTGATAAGAACAGCTTGAGGCGCTCTCAGTCGCTGGTGTCCAGGAAACCTGGTGAGTTCTTGCCCCGCAGGACTGAGGACTCGAAAGGTGGTATTAGTAGCACCCATAGTAGTGGCAATGGTATTCATTCTGGGGGAAGTAGTAGTTTTAACGGTAACCAGAAGGCAGCATTTGAGAAAGATTTTCCTTCTCTTGGGATTGAAGAGAGGCAGGTAACCAGAGTTTCATCGCCTGGTTTGAGCTCAGCAGTCCAAAGTTTGCCAATTGGAAACTCGGCTTTGCTTGGTGCTGATAAATGGACCTCAGCATTGGCAGAGGTGCCTCCTATAATTGGCAGCATCGGTATGGGGAGCTCAGCTTCTCAACAAAGTGTTGCTGTAGCTCCAACACCTAGGGCTTTAAGTGGGACAGCTAGTCTGAACATGGCTGAAGCATTGTCGCAAGCACCGCCGCGCGCTCGTTCCACCATGCAGGTAATTTTCTTTTTTATTGTTAGTTACTGCCTAATTCTGATAGTTTTGGAGAGATGTTCATCTGTGTGAATTTTGCATGTGTGTAGATCCCTGATAAGACACAGAGGCTTGAGGAATTAGCTATAAAGCAATCCAGACAGTTGATACCTGTGATACCTTCAATGCCTAAAGTTTCGGTATGTTTAATCATGCTATATGCACATATGCAAAGGCATCTTTTTGATGCATTTTACAGTGTATTAGTTTTTTTCCTTGGGATTTTATCTATATGGATCATCATTTGTTGGTTTGTTTTTATGTAGCAATAGAAGTTCTAGTCATTTTGGGTTTTTATCCTTCTTTGCAGTTGGGCTATGGATTGTATGCTAATAATCTTTTGTAGTTGTAATTACTTTGATTAATGAGTAGCATAAAATGTGCACACAAATTGAGAAGATTAGCATGATCTCTGTGCAAGAATGACACTCCCAAATTGAGAAGATTATCATGATCATTTGTCAAGCTTCTTGTTCCGTAATATCGACTAATAACATAGTCAATATTATGAAACAAGTTTGTTTAACAAATGATTATGATAGCCAGGGGTTTGTTGGTTTCATGTGTGAATAGAAGTGTAACTAACTTGTGCTGGTTATTGATCTTTGATGTGTCCCAGGGGATTATGAACCCTCTTTTTATGCAAGTACTGTTAGTGCTGGGGTCATGGTGTGGTGGTCGGGCATTGTTGACATTTCCTGTTTCCATGTTCTGAATTTTATTAACCTGTACTTGTATAACAAGATTGAAACTCAGTTGGCTATAGATATCCATAGGGTTTGCAAATTTTAAGGGACATTAGTCTACGGGAGTTTATTTTCAACACACAAGCTTTAAATAATTGCAGGGTGTGGCTGCACCTGAATAAAAAAATGTGTTAATTTCATTTTACAAGATAAATCATCTTCATGCTGTGTTTATGAATTGTTGTATATACTCACGAATCATTGGATGTGTGGATTTTTGTGGTAACTATAATTTATTCACTTCCCTTGGATATATGTGGGGTTGCCCCCTCTATTCTTGGTTCCAAGGACTTCCATCCTTCCAGCTTCTGGATTCTGCTGAATCTCACAAACAATGTTAATCCTTATGATCCTGATAATTCCCTAACTATTGAGACATTTATCTTGCTTTGTAGACCTTGCCCTTCTTTAATTTTTATTTGAAGTATTTTAAAACCTTTGATTCAAACGAGTCAACTTTAATGTTGTTACAACTTCTGCATTGCCTTTAATATCTTTGAATCCACATATTGGTGTATCGGCTGGTTATTGAGTAGAATCATGTAGGATCACCTTTTTTTCTATCCACCTGCTGATGTGCTTGTACATATACATGATTATACTGGTGAAGCTAGAGACCTAGCTTTTACTAAAGAAAAAATGGCAATTATATGATGCGCTGCAGGAATCCAAATCACAGAAAGGTTAATTGCGAAGGGAACTTCTGAGGTGTGATTAACTGGATAATGCTGCTAATTCATCTTGGGGACAACCAGAGTCGTGTATTAAATGATTATGAATTGTGTGTAATGAATGTGGTAGTTGCATGTAAAATTGTCCCTGGACTTTTATTTCCCCCCAATGTAATGTTGTAGCCTTGTGGTTGATCACATTCATTGATTGGTGAATTATTTAGTCTCTTTAATGTTCTTTCGAAAGATAGAAGTATTAGAAATTAAACGGTTACTTGATTATGTTTGACCTATTTATGTGACATTATCCTGTCCGTCTTGCTCACTCTCTCTCAGGGAGTGGGTAATCGTGAATATGTTTAACTTGTTTAAAGAAGCTTGTGACATGAGTGTTTCTTTTGTTGGGAGCTCTAATCCTATAGTTCTATTTCACTGGAAAATCAATACTAGAGGACAGACAGAAAGGAATCAAATCTTCAGCCAACTACTGTTACCTAAATTATGCCTACCCTCCTCTAAAGCTCAAACACAAAAACATATTTAAGAGCATAATACCTGATGACATTTCTCTCTGCATCTCTCTTGGCCAATGGTTTTGTATTTCCTTCCCTTTGTTTGTTTTCCACAACTTGTTTGTTCTTTCGCTGGCTCTAAAGGAATCACATTACTGAGCTACATTTTAGCCTTTTTTATTTCCTGAGCACACATTGCATTTTAGTTTTTATGTGTCTTCATGTAGAAAAGAGGAAGCAGGATGTCTACTTGAAATGAGATAGGCTGAAAATCATCTCGCATATTAATTCTATTGGGGAAGCTATTTATTTTCAATTTTAGTTGTATTATCCTCTAGTATTTTGGATATAGAATTTACATACAGAGGGTTAGGCTTGATGGATGGTTGATATCCATATTAATGGGAAGCAATTATTTCCAGGTATCCAGTTCTGCTGATAAATCAAAGCAACCAAAATCCATAGCTAGGACAAATGAGATGGTTGGAATAACTAAGAGTATGCAACAACCTTTTTCCTCTCAACTTGCTAATCAGGCTCGTAGTGGACAAGTCAGAGCGGAAGCTCCAGCTACCTCTCATGGCAAAACTCTTCTGGTTTTGAAGTCAGGACGGGAAAATGGTGTCACCTCTTTGTCAAAAGAAGCATCAACTCCAGCTAACAACACTGGCAATAGACTAGCTAATTGCCCTCCTGCAGTGGCTCCTTCAGCTCCTGCTGTGACCAGTCCAACTTCAAGGGTAACTTCCCTTGAAACCAAGGCTGCTGCATTGTCACTGAAGCCACGGTCTACTGCAGAGAAGAGATCTTCTCTGTCTCAAGCCCAAAGCAGGAGTGATTTTTTCAATCTAATGAGGAAGAAGACTTCAAATTCTTCTACTGCCCTTCCAGACTCTGGTATGGCTTCATCTAACAGTAGGGAGCAGTCTTGTCTCAAAACTAAAGATGAGGATAGTGCCTCTTTGAGTCCTTGTGTTTCTGAAAATGGAAGTGAGAGAACCAGCAATGGAGACCCTCATGAAGCTCAAAACCATGTTCAAAGACATAATGATGTTGAGGAGAACAACTCGCCCATAAATGGATCGGTATATCCAGATGAAAAAGAGGCTGCTTTCCTACGTTCTCTTGGTTGGGATGAAAATGCCGTGGAAGAGGAAGGCCTGACAGAGGAAGAGATTAATGCTTTTTATCAGGAGGTAATTAACTCTAATTGCAATTTTTGTATGTTAAATATCACTTCCGACGTGACATTAGTTATGTTAAAGATATTCCATGATTAAGTTTGAAACCTGAGTGTTTGATACTAGTGAGGTTTCTTGGAGATGATTCATTGCATACTGTACCTTAACATGACCATAGAAAGTTAGTCGTCTACAGTTCTTAATAGATGCTATCCTTTTATGTTGTTCTGCTGTGGGATTTGCAGTCTACTTCTGAAATTAGACATGCTTTCTTTGACTTAATTTTGGAGCAGTGTTAAGTAACCTTTGGGGGGGGGGGGGGCTTCATTTAAAATCAAAAATT